AATTCTGGTCTTGAGACCATACCCTCCTCCCACCAGTCCTCCTGCTGTGATTCTCTTCCATCATCCCTGGGTTTGTTCTTTTCCCCTTCACCTCCTCCTTCTGACTAAGACTTCAGCTGTGATTTCTCCCTCCTTTTGCTCCTTGAAGCAAGTCTGTTCATTATTTATTAGCTGCCGTACTCTTACACCATCTGTCTCAACTCATTATCCATATTCAGCTTGTCAAAATGACCTTTTATGGCCTTTTTCTGGCACCCTAATGTGTAGTCTGGCCCTCCTTATATAGCTTTGTGCTGCTACACCATTACTTTCCAACTCCTACTGTTAGTGTTCCTCTGTCTCACGAACACCCAATTTACTATTCTATGTTCTTAAATTCAGAAAAGCTGTTTATTCTGCTTGACTGATGCTTGTTCCTTCTTTCATCTGCTCCATATTCGCTGTGCCAGCTTGCTGCAGCACATACTGTCTTAGATACGACCTTTAAAGCATCTGCACAAAAATATAAAATATTATAAAATATAATCTCCCCCTCACAACCGGGGGGACTTTCTGTCCCTCCATTCATAATGTAACATGGTGGATTACAAGCTCAGCCCTCAGTCACTCGATTGTGAAAGTCACCACCACATAAGGTGATGGGATTTCAGTGCCTGATGCACTGGAAACCAGGAGTTTCCCCCAGGGACAGTGGGAAAAAGTGTAATGGCAGAACTTTTACCCCATGTGTCCTATCTGTGCTGCAGGGGAACAATCAGCAGGTGCCACCTGCACTGCTGAAAGCCAGCTCTGTGAACTGAGTGATTTCAAGTCAATGACTCAAACACCTTGCTTTTCTTTAACTCACTGCGACTCATACAAAACTCGTTACAGATATCTTGCTCTATAAGCTCCACAGAGAGTTTTTGAACCTGTGCTACAGACCTATCAAACAAATCCTCAATAAAGACGTCTTAGGAGAAAATGCTTTTTATTCTTAGTTTTCACTTAGTGCAGTATTCTCCCGGGAGGCCCCAGCAAAACACAGCTCTTTATCCCAAGCTCAAAGCAAGCTCTGCTTAAGGCACCTGTTACAGACAAATGGGGAAGCTTTGCATTCACATCTCCTGTTGTCCAACCCTTGTTAGACTCCTGTATGTATTTGCAGGTACAGCTGATTGTTGTAGCAATAAACACAACTTTACACATGAAAACCCTATATAGCCCTATATTGGCATGCTCATATGCATAAATACCGTGTAGCTCATCGCAAAGTAGCTCAGTTTTGCTCTCAACTACAATGTCAGTTGTTAGAGAACTCATATGCCTTGATTTCTTGAGATGAAGCAGAAAACAGCTGCTGACATTCCTAGAGATCAAAGGGGTTTCTGACCTTGAGCTGTGCTCTGGTCCTCTCAAGAATACTTGATGACCACAGTTTCATTTGGACATACTTTTTTAGGACAAACATCGCTTCTATTTTTGTGGGATGGGAGGACTAAGAGGGAATTTTCTCTCTTATAGGTGTATACAGCCCTCATTCGTCCATCAGCAATTGTATATAAACTTATCTTCCAAAGGCTGATCTATATTTCTCAAGAGGCCAGATCTTCAGTGAATCAAATCATCCCGAGTTACTGACTGGTGTTCAGCAACCAGGGGTCAGATCTTCAGATGTCCCACTGGGAACTCCTCAGGGACTCCTTTCTCATCAGCACTTTGGGATTAGGATATTTGATGGAAAGAGAAGTGACTGCTGGAAACCTGCAAGTCATGCCAGTTTTGATACAGTCACCTCTGTTAGAGGTCAATGAATGTTTTTCCTGATTGATGTTCCCCATAACCATCTGCATCCAAAAGAGTCACAATCATATCCTCCAAAACTTTTCTCCTTATCTGATTATTATTTTGGCAGCAAAATACTGTTACAAAAAGTCAAGCAAGAATTACTAAGGATTATGGCTGAGCTCTAACAGAGATGGGTTTATAATCCTTCGGTATGAAGGGAAAGCTGCTGTGATTACTGAACAAAAGGTGCTATTTCTTCCACCACTGGAGCATCAATAACGTGCCAGGGCTTCCATCCTCCCCTGGCCATCTCCCACCTACTCTGAGCATAGTTTGGACCATTCATCCATATACTCAATCCCTGGCTCTGGATTTCACTTGCTTTCTACCTCTCTGTAACCAAGTCCCCTCATTCCTTTTTTTCTAACAGCCCTCACATATGAATCTCTCCATTTCTTGCCACTTTTCCCTCTGCAGGATCCTTGCCAAGAACTCAGCCTTGCCATCTGTCCAGGAAAATGATGATACTGCTAAGCTCTGTTCTGGATGTTGAATCATATAGCTGGAGCAGCAGTGTTAAGGTTAGCCAAAAAATAAAAAATCCCAAACAGAATAATAACAAAACAAACAAACAAATCCTGAAACTGAATAATCAGTGGGAAAAAGTCTTTTTCTGCCTCACACCAGAGATCAGATACTTTTAGTCATATGCTTACTTTTCCTGTATTGTATTTCTCTACTTTCTCTTCTTAACGATACTCCTTAGGGAATACTATATCCATAAGGATAAACTGAAGAGTTTCTGATGCCATTCTTGTTAACAAGGCAGTGATGAAACTTTGGGTTTTTGTGTCCAGCACTGAGGTTAGTGAGGACATGTGCTGTGTGTGATGGCAAGGCTTAAACCTTGCCATCCTGTCTCGGATCAGTAGCTGCCAGTGTAAAAGGGCCCAAGGTTGTAATAGGCTTGTTGTGATGTGTACATTTGTCTCAAACTCTCATGCATCACTGTAAAGTGTAATTTAAGTAATCCAAGCCTGCAATCTTTATAAGAAGTCATGATTTCTCATCTAAATGCTAAATGGGGCTGCTAATAGGAGTGAGTGCAGCTCAGCTTGAGTGAAAGGATGTTGAAGAATCGGGTCTAAATCTGCCTGTGTAAATGGCAATGAAAGGAAGAAAGCAGTCTGGAGTATCCAAGTGAAGTACTGAAGAGCACTAAGTTACAGACTGCCTCTGGGCGCTGCTCCTTCTTCTGGGCAAGATATCTATCCTACAGACCAAAGAGGAGCCCATCCCTAACATTATCACTTCATGATAAGTCCAGTTTTCAGTACACTTCTGTCGCAACCAGAAGACAAGAGCAGTGAGGTCACTGAACTTCCTGCTCTGAGGGCATTTGGAAGCATAGCTTGCAAATAAATTATGCTTAAATACTTCCACAGCAAGGACTAATGATTCTTAGCACATATTGTTCTTTCTTTCTTCCTTTTAGTTTTGTTCTTTTTTTTTTTTTAGTTTTCTCTTTCAGACACCCTTTCCCCTACTTTTCAAAAAACAGAAGTCTCCATGGCGCTACATTTTTACTACCAGGGAGAGCATGCTGTTAGGTCATAACGCAAATCTGTGTAATTGGGAAAGTTATTGCAATTCTGGGAGGTTCTGAGTCTCAAAAGTGCTCTTGGATTTTTTTCACTATTGGTGGTGACGCTCCAGCATTGAAACAAGAGCTCTCTACCCCATCCACGTGTTTCTGATGGCTCTATCCTGATATAGGATAGCTTTTTAGGTAACAACACGTACACACGTGGCACTAAGGAACATTGGGTAGTGATGACACTCAGTAGGTCAGGTTCATGGCTGGATTTGATTATCCATCATAAATGATTCTGTAATTCTTTGATATGTATATATAACCATGTCATTTATTAGCTGATTTACTCTTTAAGCTCAAAGTTTAAAGTCCACATTTTGTGCAAGCCTATGCTGTGCTGGCTCCTCTAGCGTGACTATGCTGTGATTCTCACATGCATCTCTGTCCAAGCCTCCTTTCCACAGCTGTGTGCAGCAACAAATGTAGGAGAACACTGGAGAGCCAGCTGGCTCAAAACTGCTTGAAGAATAATGGAAATCAGGTGTCTAAAATGAGAATGTGTTTAGATGTGACTTGGCTTCCCTTGGTTTTCCCTGTAGAGAGCAGTGATTCCGTATTAGCTTTATCTTTTGCTCTCTATGAAAATTGTTCTCCACTGATAGTTTGATATGAAAGAACAGAGCTCAGTATGACTTTAGGTGACTTTATTTTGGCAGACACAGCCTATTAGTTGTACATCTGTCACACAGATGGGGAGACGCCAGAGAAAAAACAGAGAAGACATCAAATAAAATTAATTTTGGGATCTGGATGAGAGAGAAAAGCAAGGTCATATTTTGTGGCATTAAGATATTAGCCATCATAGGTACTCAGGATGAGCTTGCTCTGGGTAGGAACACATGTAGAAACAGAAATCTCTGTTTAAGCAACCAAGCTTGGTACCCTTCTGTTCTCTTTAGAAACCAGCACAGTATGTGTGGGAAGCAGAACTTCTGGGAATGGCAGAATTTTGGACCTTGCAATCTACTTTAGGTTTCTCTATATTCTACACTACATTTCCAATTAGTTTGGCAACCCTTAATGCTTTTTTTTTTTTTTTTTTCTTCCTTTTTTTTCTGAAGCTTTGGGCTTTGCAGATGCAAAAGCATTCCCCAAATATTCTGTTGCCATTCTTCACAATGGAAAATGTGCGCTCAAAATGTTGGCTGTTAAATTCAATGCATGTGTTCTTGTAAGCTTATCTTTCTCTCATTGCTATTGTTTCCTTTTTCAGGACATGACCTTCACCTCCATGATGAATCAGGAAAAACCTGTCAAGTCCTCCTAGCTCCCTGGCTGTGCCATTTGCTGTTCCCTTGCTGTTCACCAGACAGCAGCCCCAGCTCTTCCTACCCAAAGCAAGGAAGAAGCCAGCAAACCACACATGACAGCTGAAAAGTGAAGCATTATCAAAAGCTGTGTGAGACTGTCAGAGAGAAACTTTATATAGTAATTCTCCTTCTGAGCCTGGGAAGCCGTGCATCACATTAGTTACAAGGGAAAAAGAGAAGACATGCTCAAGTAACTGAGACCTGAAATTGCACAAATCAATACATACATTTGAATAACTACATACAGTGTTCAGAAATCTGCATTCACAATGGATGATGGATACAGAAACACAAACCTCTACCAAGGGGGAAGGGAGACAAACCAAGTCTCAGATGATTACAGGTACCAGGATGGTAACTACGAGGGATACGCACCCAATGATGGCTACTACCGTGGTGGGGATGAACCCACTCATGAAGAAGACGCCCAGAGTGATGTTACAGAAGGCCATGATGAAGATGATGAGGTCTATGAGGGGGAATACCAAGGAATCCCGCACCCAGATGACATTAAAGCCAAGCAGAAGAAGCGAGCTCCTGCCATGGATGATGAGTACAGAGACCGTGCTGACCTTATGGCAGAGAGGATGGAGGATGAGGAGCAGCTTGCCCACCAGTATGAAAACATCATTGAGGAGTGTGGCCACGGACGCTTCCAGTGGACCCTCTTCTTTGTTTTAGGGTTGGCGCTGATGGCAGACGGGGTGGAGCTGTTTGTGGTTGGATTTGTTCTGCCCAGTGCTGAGAAGGATATGTGCTTGTCCAGTTCAAACAAAGGCATGCTAGGTAAGTGCCACTTGAGCAGCTCTTCTAATCTAACTGACAGTACCTAGAATATATTTTTCTCATGACCAACTGGCTTCAGAACCTTCTGGGGGCCCTTTTTAGAATGTTTTATCTCATGCATAATTGTGTCTGGGTGGATCTGATTCAAAAGAAGATTGCTTACTGCTGCAAAGGCAGCTGCTGTAAAGCAGTAACAGAACCATACCACATCTCAGCCCAACTTAAGGATGGGCTCCAGGGCAGGCCACCACAGGCTGGATTTGGGCCAGGCAGCTCACAGCAAGTGGGACCACAAGGCAAAGCTCCTAGGAACATTCAGAGTCAAATACGCAAAAATTTACGTGTGACTGTTCCTGCTTAAGCATATAATGATGCAATTTTCAGTGCTTTTAGAAATTAAATGGTTATCAGAAGTCTGCAAAGCAGTACTTTCTGAGTGTGATGGATGTAACAGACAGGGATGCACTTGGTCTGGATCAATCTGCTATTATACTGTGTCTCTCGTGCTTCCTCGCTCTCTGGTTTTTCACTGCATCCAGGTTCACCTTTCATTTAGCAAAAAGTGCCAGCTGGCAGATCAGAGCAGCTGGTCCTGCACGCTGACTTCTCGGCCAGAGCACACTGCTAATATGCACTGGGTCAGAAGTTGCCTGTGAAGGTTTCTTCTTAGGTCTGTGGAATGAGATTAATGTGCTGAATGGAGATTAAAGGGTCAGGCTACTAACAACATCACTATTGACACCTCCCTGCGGTCAAAATACAAAGGCATAGTTATTGTGAGTATGGGTGGAAAAGGTTGGATGAGCATTTTTTTCCCCTTGCACATAGTAAGCCACAGGAGGAATAGAAGTCTCCCAGATCTCTAAGAACCAGGAAAGTGTCCAGCGTGTCCTGCAGTGAGAGCCAGCTGTGCTTAGTACAGCACATCTGGAAGGAAAATAAAGTAGCTTTTGATAGAACTGCTGTAGGAGGGGATGGTGTGTCTGGAGGAATGTGCACCAAGGTCGCAGGGAAACCATCGGGCCTGCTAAGCATACATTTGGGCCAGAAGCTCTGCCCAGAAGAGGGGAAATGTGGATTTTGGATTAGACCTTGACTCCGTTCTATTTGCATTATTTTCATGTAACAAAGGCAATAGACAATTAGCCTTACATAGACTTCTCAGCTTGGTGCACCAAGGTCCTAGAGACTCTTTTTCTTCATCTGGTTTTCTTTCCTGCATCTTCTTTTTTCTTCTCTGAACTTGAGGATCAGGATGCTTCTTTCCATAGTGAGCCAATTTTGTACCTGGTTTTGTGCCTGCAAGGGTTTGGTAATATTTTTTGTTTCACAAACCACACTTCTAGCTCAAAATAGCTCAGGTCAGATACATAAAAGTGAACTGCTTACAATTGAATCCTGATTTCAAAGGGACTTCTGAATTCACCAGCTCCCGATGGAACACCAGGATCCCTATGGGTGCCTTTTCAGTGACAAGACCTTTTTTGAAAAGCAGGTCATTTATTCTGGTGACTATACAGAAGCTGAGGTCTTTTGAAACTCCAGCCCCATAAATATCCATCTATGTAGTTGAGACAGAAAACTTCAAATGTCACAAGGAAAATCTATCTTTGAAGTATTTCTGGCCCAACCACAGTTAAGAGAGAACAAGAGATCTCCCAACGGAGCTCTTTTTTTTTGCATGCTTTTTCTAGCTCAGCATTTGCACAGCTGAAAGTTCAGGGTGTTCTGATGAGCTCTGGATAAGCAAGGAGATATCTAGATCCGTATCCAGCTTGAGCTCCAGCTCACTGCACATTGACTCAGCTGGCCTGGAATTCCTAATGATGGAACAGCACTCTTCTTGTGCCTTTTTGTGCTTTTGAGAACCTGGTTTTGCAGAACTATTTCTTTTGTCCTTGTTTATTCTGAAGGTTCTCCTGTCAAAGCTTGTATGCACACTGTATTTTTTACTTAAAAATGAACAAAGGGAAAGAATTTGCCTAAGAACAAAATCAATTGATTCATCTTGGTTTGAGAAAGATTGAGAAGACCAGAAAGCAGATATTTACAATAGCACTTGCTTGTTACTGATTGGTGTTGCACAGAAGGCAAGTCTCTGATTCAGTGGCTTTGGTTAAACACATTGCTTCTATCACTGGGATCTTCCTCTGCTGCAGGTTTTCTCTTAGATCTGAGGTTTACCAAATGATCCCTTGTGAAAAGGGATTAAACAGAGCTTAGAAAGCATTAGACTGCAGAGTGGTTCACTGACACGAGTAATGAATGCTCAAGGGCATGGAGAAGTGAGGATGTAAGGAGAGCAGAGTGGGCACATGGCTGCAGGTGGCAGGATGGGGAAGTGCTATTGATGGAAACGAGAACAATCCTCCTCAAAACCATTCCTGGATTAGCTTCAGCACCCATCCACCACTGACAAGAAAAAGATATCTGCCCACAAAGCTCAGAGCCTCCAACATATGCTCATTTCCCTCGTGGTTCCCATTCCCTTGTCTGTCTATGTGTCGTGCTGTCACAAATCAATCTTGCTAATGCCCAGGCTTCAATGATCCTTACAGCTGACTTATCACAGTAATAGTGGCCATCAAAGAACTCTTGTCCTCAATTTCTGCCTAATGCGTACTGATGATCTTGCAAGAGTGCACCTGCACAGAATGGAGAGAGCGTTGACTGGAGAGGGTGCGAGTCTTCCTTTCCTTGCCATTGGGTTTTAGGGACGTAGTGGCATTACCCACAGAGATGCTACTGCCCCTTACTTTATCACCATCAGCCATAGATGTCTACAGTGATCTGATTGCTCCCAGGTGACTGCTCGTCTCAACACATTTTTGCTAAGGAAAAGTAATCAGACTATCCCAGGTAGACTGAGGGTTGCTTCCAGGCAGCTGTGCACAGATAGACACCCACAAGGCCTCAACTGAGGCCAGGAAGGAAAATATGGGAAATAAATCAAGTAGCTAATTGAACTTACAGAAATAGGAGGGAACAAATGAGAGCTGGAGTAGCTATGCGCTGAAAACTAATTGAGCAAAGGTCAGCTTTTGCTGAAAGGACATTTCGTGTTAAATACTCAGTGTATTGCATATTTTTCCTCCCTCAGAAAGCAAGAGTGGAAAAATATCCAGCAATTTATGGCCAAATTATGCAAAAAAATTACAAATAAACGGATGCCCACAGTGTTTCATGGAAAGTGTGAAACGAATGTGACACCTCTTAGAAAACGTTTACATTTTGTTCTGAAAATAAACATATCTACATCAGATGCAAATTAACAGCTATTTTAGCCCTAACTATCCCTCATGGGACAAAACGTATTTTAAGTTTTTCTGTGATGTGAATTATTATTTTGAAGATTTTAGGAATATTTAATAAAAGAAAAAAGGAAAAAATAAGAAGAAAAACATCAACAGCTCTGTATGCTTTAGATGTTTGATTTCTATCATTTTTAAAACTAGCCATTCAGTGTAGGCTTGCTAACCTTTCATAACATAATTTTCATATATTCCTCTTGCAGATCTACTTTTGCTGAGCTTTCTCCAGCAACAGTCATAATAACAATGCATTTATTAAATTTACTACGACAAAGTATTCCTTTTCAGTATAATACATCCTGTTGGAAACAGAGTATTTGCTATGGACAACCATACAGAGAGTTATACATTTCTATTTGCTGACGAACCAAAGGACACACAACATCATTCTTTGGAGAAATATCACATAAATACACAACTTCAAGTGCTGTTAATCACCCCTTAGAAGACAGAATCTTGTATTTGCAAGCACAGAGCAGTAAGTACACAGCCAGTAGAAAAGATGGTGTCATAGTAACGTTTTCAACTTTTTCACATCCTGCATATGAAAAACTGAAGGCACAGTTGTATCATCAGATTTCCCAGGCTCCAGAGCTGCAGTTATCATTTCGCAGTTCAGTAAACTGAGACAAGAAAAATGTGAGCCCTTTGCCCATGACTGCAAAACATCCACTTAAATGCTGAGAGTAAAGTCTATCTTTCAGGCTCACATTTCCTCTTTCTTATGATGGTATTATAATAATAATATTTTAAGGAGAGCATCATCTTCCAGGTTCTTAGCCTTGCAGAGTTAGATTGAAAACAAGAAAAAGAGATCCTGTTTGTAATCATGCAGTTATGTAGATATTAAAGCTTGTCAGTGTGAGTCCATTAAACCAAATGTATAACACTACCTCCCCTTTTAGTTGTCCAAAGAGGATGCTTTGTTATCAGTGCAGATAAAACTGGCCTCATCTTCTTGCTGACCTGAATTCACCTGATATGACATTAAATCCTAATCCATTTGTCAGAGATCAGTGCTTTTTCTTTTTCTGGATAAATACAGACTAGGAGCCCAACCATGGCTCCCATGCTGTTTCCCACCTTGTTTGGCTGGGTGGGGGGACCAGGTGGCCCTATGCATATCAATGTGATGGACAATCCCAGTGGAGGGGCTGAGTTGCTTGGCATGCACTGCCTTTCCAGTTCCATGGCAAATGTGTGTGGATTCACACATACAGCTTTGGCTTACAGAATCCCCCCAGTGCCTGCAGCCAGATCCATTCTGTATCTACCCCCACAGCTCAGCAAATGGAAAGCCTTTAACATGCACAATCCATTTCTCAGAGGTAGAGGAGCCATTAGTGCAGATAGAGTCTCTCTCTTGATGTTCAATCAACAAAACACGTACAATGGGACTACACTTTGATGTGATTCCCGTTTAGGAGATCAGTGAGATTCAAGGATAAAGCAGTAATAATCTCACAAGGAAGAGCAGACAAGTAATTTCAGGAAGAAGGGGAAAAAGTCATACAGCCCAGAGCCAATCCTTTGGGAAATGTTGGCTGTTGTTGGAGCACAAGCCAAGCAGGATTTCTTCTTCTTCAAATCACTCAAGCAGTATTGAGTCCTGTGCCTTGCCTCATCCATCTTCTAAATAGCTCAAAACTGAATCACAAAATTTTGGTGTCCATAAAGTACATCCTTGTATAACAGATGCTCTGCTGTTAAGTGTTTGGGTTTTGTTTTTATCACAGTTTGAATTTCAAGATGTAGAAGATCCTAATCCTTTAGGATTGTGAAAATGCTTTCAAAAACCTTCTTGTTACTGTACTGGTAATGGCCTCTGCTTGGAAAGTGGGTAGGAACTCCCACGTTCATGTGGCTGCTGGCTCTGTGCAGAGCTGTGAGAAGAGGTGAGATGCTGCTGCACTGGGAACCATCAGCTTCCTCACTTCCATGGCAGCCTGAAGGGATTCAGGACCAACTCATCACGTTTTCTGCTTGAATTTTCCATTTATCCCTTGAGCCCTTGTCATATCTTGATAGTGATACTTTCCAGATGTGACTTATTTTTAAGAACTTTAATTCCATTAAGGGTAGACAAAAGTAATTCATGCTTGTGATGGACACTTTGTAAATCTTGAATTTCTCCTTTCCTTTCCAAAGCCCTTATGAGCTTGCTTCTAATTATGCTGAAATAGTAAAAATACAGCTTAGCACACACATAGCCATCCCACATCCACCTTCTTCAGTCCTAGAACTCAGCCTTTATGACCAAGATTCCTGTCTTAGTTTGGAGCACATAGCTTCAATAAAGGCTAATAATTTTCTTAATGTGAAAATTCTGTACATGCTACCTCCTTTCCAGTGGGAATAAGGTCTCATATTTTCCTTATAATTTCAGCATTGCATGACTCATAACCCAAAATTTCATCTCAGATTTTCAGCTCTTTGGTTTTCCACAGGTTTTACGGGAGGCTCTTGCAGACTTTCCCATAGGCATTCATTATTCCCCATTACTTGCAGAATAGCCTGCAAATAATGGCTTATTCAGATTTACCCTTAACCCTGGAGCTGGATTTCTTCAAAAGGTAACAGCCATCACCACATTCTCCTAATGGTACTCAAAAAAACACTGCACACTCCACACCTCTCTGGGTCCCAGCCACCGTACTGAAACCATTTAGCATCTACTGGTTGCATTGCTGTATGAATCAGTAATTAGTGATCCTGCTAGTGTGCAGTGCTCAGATTGGCTCTGAGTGAAAAATCACTTTATCAACATGGCTTTTTACCCAAAAATTAATGAAGTCCATTGTGCATTCCATAGTGCAGAATGGCCAGATTTTCTAGTCTGGTGGCTCTACAACTGTGGCCATGCACTGGCCTCTTGAAACACCTGAGAAGTGCAGGATAAAGGCAGCAGGGTGCCAAACCCACCTCTGGGCTGCGAGGAGCATCCAACTCTTCCCTCTTAGCTGAGGCAGTTCCTGGCCAGAACCACCTGCCTTGCACCAGCCAGGGAATTTGGCTGTAATAAATCAATGTAACAACCTCCTCTACCTCCTTCTAATCTGGGACATTTTCTGTTAAGAGGCTTTAGATGAACATCTGCCATGCAGGGATTTTCTCCATATGTATATATGTACATGTACACATACAAACACACATAGATATACATGACAATTTTTTATTCTTCATCATTTTCTGGCCGTGTGGACTGGGCTGTGTATCTGATCCTGTTGTCTTTTCCTATCGTAACTCACACAGGCTTCAACAGGCATTTTGCTAGCATGCCTTGTGGTTCTTCCTGGGCATATTCTTGCTCAGTGAAGTCTCTAAATCTTGGAAGTAGTTAAAATAAGTGAAAGAAGATGCCCCTGGACCTGTGAGCATTAATAATTAGCATTACTTGCACTGCTACTCACATAAAGTAAAAGGCAATGTAACAGGTGGTCCTTCTGGTGAAAATCTCAGTAGAAAACCTAAAGACAAGTGCTTGTTTTTCTAGGCCAGAATTGCTATCAGATAGTGAACTGGATACAGAGAGCCTATTCTCTCTTATTCAGTCTCCACTAAACATGCTCACTGAAATTGTCTGTCTTTTGAGGACCCCATATAGAAGATCTAATGAAGTCAAGTTAAAATGAACTCATTTTTTTTAACATTAGAATAATTACTCTACAGAGCAAACCGTCAAGGCAAACTGTAGGTTCTTCCATCTCCTGAAATGCTCAGATCAAGGCTTTATTCTTTTCTGCAAGTTGTCCTTTAGTTAGACATAAGATTTTGGCCCAGTAACAGAGGAAGCATCTGCACTGCACAGGTCAGATTGGCAATAGATTGATCCTTTCAAATGCTGCTAGGAAAAGCAGAGAGAAAGAGGCGATGTGCTCCAGAGGAAGCATGGGCAGGATGGGTAACACACAAAGAGATTTATCCATGCTGCAGCAGCCTCTCTCTCCTCTCACAGCTTCTCAGTGTCACTGCACTCAGGGGGGTGAGTGGAGTTAAGGCACCAGACTTCTGTTGTACCGTTGGTGGCACACAGCTGGGACACGTGCATGCTAAGCTGCTTATGCCTGGCCATTGCTTACGTGCAGAAGATATGTGAGCAGAGAGGTCGGGAAAGAAAGATGTGGGTCTGATCAAATGTGGGTATGTCTATATTGCACCATGTGATGCTGCAGGGAGTGGTGAAAGCTCACGAGCGGAAAATGGAGGAATTAGATTCCACAAATGGATAGAGCTTCTGGTATCTGGGATGGCTCATTTGGGAAGAATGGGAGTATGTAGCTTTCTTTTAATGCATGCACTGCTTTTGAAAAGCTTTGTCTTCATAGCTGGTTTTTTTTTTTTTGAGAGTAAGAAGTCATAATTGGCATGCAGAGCCCAGGTGAGACCTTTCACTGCGTTATGAATGCTGGTTCCTGACAAAACTGGCCTGTCATTGACATAACTATGTTATTTGTGAAGCCTTCAGTGGTATTTCCATCTTTATTTCTCTCTCAAGTGGTAGCTGGCTGTAATGTAAGGGAACAGCAGCTGATGTTGTCTGTGTATGGGACAGCAAACCATTTCCACCTGACAAGCAGGAGGATGGTGTTACCAAACTCAGTGTTTCTCTTCCTCTCTTCTAGGTCTGATAGTCTACCTGGGAATGATGGTGGGGGCTGTCATGCTGGGTGGCCTCGCTGATAAACTGGGAAGAAAGAAATGCCTCATCATATCACTTGCAATCAATGCTGCCTTCGCCTTCCTGTCCTCTTTTGTCCAGGGATACGGATTCTTCCTTTTCTGCCGCCTTATCTCAGGCCTCGGGTGTGTAACTGGTGAATTATCCTTATCAAAACAACTTTTATTTTATATCCAGTCTTAATCTCTCCCCTTTTAGTTTGAAATCATTTGCCCTTGTCCTGACACAGCAGTCCCACATCTGTGGGTGTTTTAACCTGAACAATCCCATCCACATGACATTGAAGAAAACTCATTTTTTCCATGTGCTGTTTTTTCCTCTCAGTATTGGGGGATCCCTCCCCATCGTGTTTGCCTATTTCTCTGAATTCCTGTCTCGTGAGAAGAGGGGTGAGCACCTGAGCTGGTTGTGCATGTTCTGGATGATCGGTGGTATTTTTGCTTCAGCAATGGCGTGGAGCATCATCCCACATTACGGTAATGGTTTTGTGCTTTTGGCTTTTGACAGCGCCACTTTCCTGCACCACCACACTACTCCAAAACCCGCACAAGTTAACATTAATCAGACCTTACACATCCAAGCATGAACGGTATTGAAAACAGTAAATATCTGAAGTGCACAGAGAAGGTCTAATAAGGGGGCTGATTGATTAATTGACTGATGCTAAGTAGTAGTACACTGCAAAAGAAGTCATCCAGTTATCAATAGTAAGGAAATTTAATGGGGGAATTACTGGGTGCAATGAATGCTAGTAGTGAGAACAGCACACATTCCTTTCCTTAGATAAGTGCCACCACTCTTAGGGCTGTGTATCTGGTGGCATCTCCCCAGCATGCCATGGCCTGATGTCAGACATGGCCCCACCTACCTGAGCTCAGGAGTGAATTGGGTCCCCTGTGCAGAGCTGCACCCAAGTGGACTCTGAAATGTGCTCCAAAGAGCAAAAAACTTCATGTCCTCCTCCTAGCTCATATGTGTACATTTGGAAAACACCCGAAGCAAATATCTCCTGGAGAAGATTAATTCACTCAGCATTCAGCAATAGCAGCTGTCTGAAAGATTCTGTTTGAGGAAAAGTGGGACAAAGACCAGGAAGGAAAAAAACATTTATCTACCTATCAATTCATTTTATTGTGTTTAAAATGCAGTCAGTATAAAGCTCTTGGTTCTGATCAATACCACAGAGATTGCTGGAACAAATATACAAAGTTACTGCATAGCAATGACTTTTTATTATTATTATCTATCAATACACTTCTTTAAAAAAAAAAAAAAAAAAAAAAAGTCTGTATTTACATTACATTCATTTTCTGGATACAATTTTGCTGTTATCCCTTCAGATTTGAGCCCAGGGAAAGGAAAAAAAGGCTTTTATTCCATTTTTTTTAAACTTTAATCATCTTTTGCTTTGAGAATCTACACTGGTGTATGTTGTTACAGGAACAACATAAGAATGATGCTGTACTTTCTACTCCTTATCAGAGGACTTGCTTTGGTATCAGGAAAAGGCAGGAGAGGGGGAATCCCAAAAGCTGGACGACGGTCCTGATTCTTCTGAGTTTGAGTCTCAGCTCAGATTTTGCAATTTTGGAAAAACAATCTTGTCTTCCTAGCTTGCTGTTATTAATAGTGAAATATGTGTGTGAGGTATGAGATGGAAAGGAACTGCTTCTAATGTGCCTTTCAGATCAGAGGAAATTTAACCTCTGTAAACTTTTGGTGACATTTCTGAGAAGCAATAAATTCTGGCCCTGATTCCTCTGCCCCTTCCCACTCTGACTTGCCTACAGCTGCATGGAGCTATTCTTATTGCTAGGTGATTTTTATACTCAGAGATAAAAGGAGCTTTTTAAAAGGCAGAGCCTGAGCAAGGATGTTCCATTTTCTGTAATGAACGTGAACTCACTTGCTATTATCTGCTGAACATGGTACTGAGCCTCTAAAAGCCATCATTACTAAGAATAGCAAACTTTCAACCTGTCGCCGTGTAACACATAGCTGTAAAGTTCAGAGCTGCTTTACGAGAGAAAAATCAATCTGCCTGCTTGGAATTTTCACTTGTTGGCTCTTGCTGTTTCCAGGCTGGGGGTTCAGTATGGGAACCAAGTACCACTTCCACAGCTGGAGAGTCTTTGTTCTGGTCTGCTCCCTGCCCTGTATCGCCTCCTTGGTAGCACTGAAGTTCATGCCTGAAAGCCCGCGGTTCTTGCTGGAGGTAAGATGATGATTTATGTGAACATCACAGCCTGCCATTAGCAGAGGATGGCTGGTCCCTAGTGTGTCACCATCTCTCTTTCTTTGTCCCATCAAACACTCAGTACAAGCTCGGAGGCAAAGGCACTCCTACACACATAAAGTATCTGCATAGATTGCTGCAGCCCCAGAGGCTGCAGACTGTGACATTAGTCAGGGGTGGTGAGTGGTTACCTCCAAACGTGGCACTGGAAGAAGGCACAGAATTCCAGAAATTTTGTATCCAACAAAGACATATTGAGTATGGGCATATAACAGGTGAATCCTGATAGAAGTACCATCTCTGCAAGACCTCAGCAGAGATGGGAACAAAGTCCAGGTCTTCTCACACATCTCCTCTTCCCCGATCTGTTCCCCTTCTGCTCCAGCCAGTTTTTGGGCAACTCCTTCCCTCAGCACAGATGTGCTGCACTGTGCACACAAACCATCCCTGCAGATCTTTGCCCTTCAAACAGCCATGCTTGATGGATCTTCTCTGGTGTATTTGACCTGTAGAACTGATTCCTCTCTACACTTATTTTCCTTTCCCTTGGTGCTTCCAGATGGGTAAGCATGATGAAGCCTGGATGATCCTCAAGCAAGTTCATGACACCAACATGCGGGCCAAGGGTGAGCCAGAGAGAGTGTTTACGGTGAGTTTTACAAAACCATTGACATATAAAAGAAAAAATGGGCATAACTCCCCCAGTGAAGCACAGCACCTGTTAATTCCTTCTTGGGAATCTCCCTTTCACTGTGATCACCCCCACCGATCAGCACTCTGAGATGCACTTAATGCATTTCAAGTTGAATGCCAGCCTGCTATTTCAATCATTAGTCAATCCTGTGAATTGCTGTGAATACTCTTCATCCCTGGTGTTTCACTCCAGCATTCCGAGCAGTGATTTTCCAATTATATGTACACTTAATCGGTTTGCTCTAAGAGACTAGAACCAAGTAAGAGAGATATTAGCCATGTGGGAGATCTGACTCACTTCTTTCTCCTTTCCATCTTCTAATCAAACTCTGATTAAACTTCATGTACCTTCTAATGAGCTTCCACCTGCCTCATACCCAATCTTTAATCTCTCCCAGGGAAAGCGAAGTGAGTGATTACTTCTCATTAGTTTGCTGCTTGTGAAAAAGTCCTCACCAGGGGTCTTGATTTATAAGCAAAATGAGGGAAAAGGTGTTTGCTGGGGTTAGTTGCAGATTTCTATAATTCAGTTGTAGACTCCCAATAAGCCAGCCGGGGAATAGATCTAGATTTATGCCTTTAAATTTAAGAAGACAGATACTCTTAAAGGACGGATAGAAAGAGGAAAAAGAGATGCACTTGTACTTAAAACATGCTCATTGCTCCATCCAATGGTGTCATGGTGCTGCGGGCTGAGCTGAGCCAAGCTCTATACCTCGAGGCTGAGTCAAAGTTGAGTGGCATCTGCTGGCATGAGCGGATGGTACATCGGGCTGGTGTGGAGCAAACTGTCAGATTGTGTGGTTTTCTGATAGGCCAGAAGTTGCAGCTTGTGGTGAGTCAGTTGTCACCAGGACAGTTCCCAGAGATGACATTTAAGTGGTGCCAACAAGAGGAACACAGAGACTCCACAGCCGAGCCAAGGCACTCGTTCACACTCTGAAATTTATTCAGTGAATTTTCACCTCCCTTGTATTTACAAACAGATTGTGGCTTCCTGGAGCATATCCTCCATTTAAAGTTACTGAGCAAATATTTTCCAGGACTCGTTTTTAAGGTTTCTAGTCAGCATTCAATGTTGAAAATTCAGACTATTTTGGTGGAGTGAAATGATGGCATGATGTGGGCTCAAATCACGACTGGATGCATTTTCAGATGCAAAGATTCCCATCCACACCTTCAGTTGATGCAGATATTCTGCCAGAAGTTCTGAAAAGGTGTTAAATGAGAAATACCAGTTGTGATTTAAGAAGGAGGTCCTGGGGCACAATGAGATGCAGATACAAATGGCTGATCACAAAGATGATTTTTACTGTTGTTCAGTCCTTATTTCAAGCAGGAATCTAAAGGATGCAGAAATAGCATAATGCACAGTCATATTAACCAATGTACGAAAGACTAAAGTGGATGTAATGCACTTCAACTACTTCAGGGAGGGAGAGAGAGAGAAAAGATGAAAGGATATAGGGATGGAAGGCAGGAAGGTGAGAAGGAAGGCAGGATGGAAGGAGGGCAGGCAGGAAGATTTCTTGCTGTAATAAAAACTCTTGCTGTAAATAAATTAATTAACTAATGTCTATTGATAACATTCAAGAAAAAAATAGTAAGGGATATCAGGCTCAAACTCTGCTCAGAAGACTGTGTAAACCCAGTATTGATTATGGAGACTTTGGGTCAATGTTCTTTTTCTCTCTCAATCTCTTTTCCTCTTTAGGTTTCTTATATCAAAACTCCAAAGCAAGTTGATGAGTTCATTGAAATTCAAAGCTCAACAGGGACTTGGTACCAGCGGTGGCTGGTCAGAATCACAACCACCTTCAAACAGGTAAAGAGATGCAAACCCATCCCATGGGGGCTTTTGAGCTCAGGGCTCAGTGTCACTGGGCTTTGGAAGCCCAACTCTCCCTCAAAAAGCCTGCTCTGTTTGCATGCTGATTGCAGTTGCCATCAGATGTGAGCATGTGCAGATGCCACACTGCCCTGAGATGCCTCTGTGAGCAGCACGGCGGTCAAGCTGTGCTAATGGCAGAGCTTCCAGCCCCAGCCCCAAGTACTTGACTCTCCTTCAGAGCAGATAGATATCGATTCCCTCTCCTCTAAGCCGAAGTGAATTTACCACCTGCAGTGGATTGAGAAGAGTGCTTGCTACTTGCTCCTGCTGAGACTGAGTTTATAACAACCTCACATTATGTCTTCAGCTAATTTAACCCTTCATACTTGCTATGCTTACCTATACCCAGGCAAAACTTTGTGGACAAACTTGCTAGATTATTCCCATTAAGAGGATGAGCCTCAAATAAAGGAGAGTCCATTTGAACTAATTGCAATGCAGGTGCTATGTTGTTGTTATATTTATGTGGCAAGTAAAGAGCACAAAGAATTATTTACCTGTATGCTCCTGGCAGTATTTCCTGCTGTAGCTCAAGAGAAGACTTTGCTCTCTGTCTTGCTCTTCTTGGTTTCATCCCTACCTGAGTTTATCCTACCCCTCCTAAAGCACCATCTGCATTGAGATTTTTGCTTTTCAATGAGCTTCAGAGCTCGATTTGAAAGCAGCCCTGAGGCCACACCTACAGGTGAAAAGACAAAACTGTCAGAGGGTCTGGGATCCTCATCATACACACCAGCTCACTATACAGATTAAAGACCTTTGCACACAGTTGAACATGTGATATTTCTGTAAACCATTGATCTAGACAAACATAATTTTGAACTAACCCTGAACATGCATCTGATCTTCCCCCATTGAGCCCTTTACTGAAAATATTAAATCTATGATGCACACAGAAATTAATCTTGTAAGTCTCTGCTAGGGTTTCCTTGCAGATGATTCTTTGTTGTGGATTTGTAGGTCTGGGACAACGTGCTATATTGTTTAACAGCCCAGTACAGGATGAACACGCTGATGCTGGCTGTGGTTTGGTTTACTATGGCCTTAAGGTAAGGTACTTACTTAACATTTTTGGGAAACTAGAGGGCTTTTAGAGTCTCAATACTACAGCCTCACACTTGCAGAAATCCGTCTTTCAGGGAAAGCTTCCAAATTTTTTGCTGTTCTGCTGGTCTCTTGGGCAGCAAGGATATAGCACATTGCTGTATTTTCTAGCAAAGGATTCACTGTCCCTAAAATTTAAATTAGTTGCATTGCTTTAGGTGAACAAAAATGAATCAGTGTGCATCTGAGAGCAGCATGTTACAGAAGGGAGGCTTTTTCTTGGTCCTGTCAGACCTAAGCAAGGATTGGCATCAGAAATTTATTTGCGCTAGGAATTTAGCAGGTTTACAAATTATGAACTGGATTTTTGGAAAAGCACTGTGATATTTTCAGTGCCAGGGTCCCTAATATATTTCTCCCACTCTGCTATAGTTACTATGGCCTTATTGTCTGGTTCCCTGACATGATCCGCTATCTCCAAGAAGAGGCCTATGAGTCCCGAGTGAAGGTCTTTGATGAGGAAGAAGTGTCACACTTCACCTTTAATTTCACCCTGGAAAACCAGATCCATAGAAACGGGGAATACAGAAATGATAAGTAAGTGAACAGAAATCAGTTTGATTGATGCTGATGGGGAAAAGGGCATGAGAGGAACTGGGAATGAGATCCACCAACATATACAAGGCATTTGGAAAAGTAACCCTCATTTCTAGAAAGCTCATTTTTTTCCATTTCCCACAAACTTGTAAATCTCTGTTGTTCTTCTGGATACACAATCTGCCTCCCGCAAATCCTACAGGGAGTTTTCCACAGAACTATTAGTCTTTGGTGTCCCACTTTCCACACACCTTGCCTCAGACGCCTCTCCAACCCGAGGGGGTGCACCAGGGGCATGGGGATGCAGTGGTGACTTCTCTTTCCTTAGCACACACTGACATCTACTGGTCTTGAGCAACAAAGCCAACCACCGCAAAGGAAACTGTTGTTTTGCTGCATTTTGTAGGTAACAAATTGCGTTGTAGACCTTGGAACGACTTCTCCCTACCCCACAGCCCATTAGTGTGTGTTGGCTGATTGTACTGGTGCGCTTCTGCTGTGCCGAGCAGCATCTCCCCATGGCATGTGCCACCTTCTGTTTTAGTGCTCTGAAGTCAGAGAAGGCACTCTGGGAGAGTGTCATCATTTTCCTCCCTTTTACCTTCCCTGAATCCAGCCTGACCCTGGTCATTCTAAACTCCACAGCAGTGTAAATCCTAGTGATGTGTAGCAGGTCGTTTTTATTTTCTGAATTCCAAAGTAATGAGTGGGGAAATACCCTTATCATATAGTGATCTCATTGCTGCAGAGAGCCTAGAAAGGCTGCTACTCCAGCTGCTTTGCACTATGCAGGAGGTCACACAAAAAATTTATTATTCTAGTCTTCATAACTGAAGCCACACTTCACTGCCCATCCAGGTACATCTTTCCCCTCAGGAGCTGTCTCAATTTATCTCAATTTCCTAGATGTACAGATTATGGACTTTGATGGAGGACCCCATCCTGACCCCCTACACCCTCCCTGTGACCTTTCTTGCAGTAAGGATCTGTGCTTGATGGTGCAAACTTAGCCCTGTAATTCCTATGCCCCTGCCTACAGAGAAGCCAAAGTCCTGTGAGATGTGGGTGGAGGCCAAATTTAGGATTTGAGGACTTTGGTCTTATCCTAGAGGAGATCCTCAGCTTTCCCTAACCTCCTTTGGAGTTCAGGATGCTCAGCACCTTCCAGGATGAACTCATAAAACTGTGGTGTGTATCACTGTACTGCTCCTTTTGTCTTCTCCAATTTAATAACTCAAAACATGATCAAACTGCATTCCAGCTATGTCCAGAGCGTATCTCCTTATAATTTATAGGTCAGTTTTCCCTCTAGCCCTTGCATGTGAGCTAAAACTCCATCAAACACCAGGCTGTTGCTGCATGACTCTTTTAAAGACAGATGTTAAGAAAGCAATCTGCAGGCAAAGGACTTTTAAGGGCCTTTGTGAGCACATACATCACAGGCTATTATTGAGCAAATGCAGAACAGCTTAAGTGTTGCTGTAACCTATGAGACCTTCTGCACAGTGCAAAAGACTTGAGTAGTCTTCTTGTTACATTCTGAGCATTAATAATATCTGTTAGTAGCCACAGTTAATAAGCCCTGCAGTGTTCTCTTCATGCTGTAAATAGCCATCATGCTAGACTGTCTTGTAAGTGCTCAATTCAATTAAGCTTCTGGGTATATGTTAGAAGCCTTTTTATTTGGTGACAGTTGTGGCCTCCTTAGCTAAAGCAATAATGCTTGCACTTACTAGCTCTTTACATCTTCCTGTACATGCCTGTGCATTAACTGATACATCTCCCCAGTGTCCCTGCAAAAGCTCACAGGTAAATCAATTTTGTGTCATCCTTCAGGCAGGCAGGTCAGATGTGCCAAGCTTCCCATCAGAGGAGAAATCCATCACCTGACACTGTTGATTATTTTTGGTGTAATCTGTTTTCTTTACATGATATGCAATGGTCCTTGAACAGAGATGGCTACAGGCCGTACACCTCCCCCAGGAAATCTTACTGCATTTTTCCTTAAAAAATCACTGTGAGTTTAAACAACTGTCAGAAACCTTTCACCAAATGGCCACATGGACTCCTGATAATGTCTGGTTTTATTTCTGCCTGAGGAAGGGGCCAAATAAGGAAGGCAACAAGGTCAGCTCACAAAGAAAATGCCACACACAGGGTGAAATTATGTCTTCTTCAGATAGACTAGCGCTGAAAGTTAGAGGATTGATGTCCACTCAGCCTTAGAAACACATCTTCTTGCTTATGACTACTTTGAGAGACAGAGAAACAACCAGAAATTCCAACAGGTCCATCTTTTAAACTCCTCAAAGCCCCATTTCTTAATAAAATACAAAATACAGAAGGATTTTGTTGGAAGGACAGCTGTGCATTCAAGCAAGACCTTTTCTGTAAGTGACCCTAAAAACTGTCATTAGTACTCTGTCTATTAAACTAGGATGGCCTGTTATCCAGTGTAGGGAGTATCTCCAAGCACTGAGTGAAGCTCTACCTTCTGCCCCACAGATTTATTGGCATGAAATTCAAGGAGGTGAGATTTGAGGATTCACTATTTGAAGAATGCTACTTTGAGGACGTGACATCCAGTGAAACCTTCTTTGAAAACTGCACCATCATCTCTACTGTCTTTTACAACACTGGTAATGGGATTCCTGACATGATCTCATCTCTGTGATTAGGAACTATTTCATCAGATTCTAGGAGAAAGGATGATAGGGATCTGTGTGCCTGCGTGTGCACTGTGTAATGAGGGTGATGATGGAAAAAGAGGGTGAAGACAGGCTGAGAGACTAGCTGCTTTTATCTTTATGGTTGGCTCATTCCTAGGAGACAAAAAAATAAGAAAAAAAAAAAAAGAAGAAAAGGAAAAAAAGAGGGTCTTCCCCTTATATTTTAACTAGATATATTTATTTTCTCATAAACTGAGCTAGCTTTCCACATGAGCATAAGCCTGTCACTAAAATGTGTCATCACTAACAATGCCCCAGAGGCTGAGGATGCTCCCATTGGCTCCTTTTCTTGCTTAACTCTGTATTTGCACCGAAGCATCTGGAAGGAGTGTGCCACTAACAGATAAACTCCTCGGCCATTTCTCTTACAGATCTCTATGAACACAAATTCATCAACTGCAGGCTGATAAACACCACGTTCATGAAGGAGAAGGAAGGCTGCCATCTGGACTTTGAGGAGGACAATGATTTCTTGATCTACTTAGTCAGCTTCCTTGGCAGCCTGTCTGTGCTGCCGGGAAACATCATCTCTGCACTGCTTATGGACAAAATAGGGAGGATAAAGATGATCGGTGAGTATGGATGTGGTGGGTGTCAGATGGGAGCGTGGCTCTGCAAGGGGCCAGGGCCTTGTGCTGCTGCACGTGGAGGCAAGCTGAGCTGGCTAAGGTGGAGATGAATCATGCCCACGTCAAATGGAGCAGAAGAGTAAAAAGACTGGAGGGTGAGGCACCAGACAGTGACTCACAACAATTCAGTTCTATTCCTCTTCCTGCCAGTGATCTACTCTGTGGCAGTGGGCAAGTTACCTGCTCCTCACTTTCCCATCTATCTTTACTGTGGATTGGCAACATCTGCCTTTTCTCTTAGTTTGACTTTAATGTCAAACCCTGTTCATCCAGTGCTCAGCACTACAGGGGCTGAGCTGAAGCAGGACCATCTGGTGCTGCTGAGTTGATGCTCATGTCCATAGCATTATGTATAAATAAATAAGACACTTTGCTTGTGGCAATGAATATTCACAAAAATTATTTGCTGTAGCTGTTTGACAGCCCAGGAGTTCCCTCTTTGGGGTTTCTGATTTTCAAATGATTTTACAGCAGCTTCAGGAAACATATGGTAGATTAACTGACCATTTCACAGCCAACCAAACGTCACTCTTTAGCCATACGGGACTAAGTTATCAGCTTTATGATTCCATTGGAAATTTCTGTGATTGCTTGCTGCAAGGCTCAAATCTGGCTCTCCCAGGTACTATGGAATAATACCTCGAGGGACAGACAAGTGAGCTTAGCAAAATCAGGGATGTGACTTAGGGGGAAAGCATGAGTCACTCTTTTGAGTTCGCCTGTCTCTCTTCTGATTACAGTGGGAATTTTAGTTTGTTTAGCCCCACACTCAGATGGGTAAAGGTATGGAAGATGACCCCGTCAGTGTGTCAGGAATTAACACTGGGAGGGCAAAATGAACCTTCATGTAGTGAATTTGGAAAAGGCCCAAACAAACCAGAGGGTTTGCAGTAAATAAATTAAACTGAATGAGAATCAAATTGCCCACCCCACAAACATGTCAGCGTTTCAGTATTTTCATGTGAAATTGAGATGACAGCTGGAAACCTAAATGCTTATTTCTGCTGCAGAATGAAAAGTACAGGACAAAAATTGGGAACGACATGCTGAAACGTTTCACTATGGAATTTTCAATTGAAACAGCCTTCTGGCATCCCACCCATAGCACTCTGTTGAACATATTATTTCTGGTCAGCTTAACATGAAGACTGAATTTCTCTTTTGCGTTATGTGCCTCACTGGGACTTCAGTTCAGTTTTATCGTGTTCCACTAAACTCTCTCCTGTGCCAAATGTCAGATCTGGTACACACACAGTGACCCCAACGAAGTCCTGTACTTCTTCAGCAGAGGAAATATCCACACTGTGCAGTGAGGGATGCAGTTTGGGCAGGTACCAAAGCAATGGGCATGGGGTCCTGCATGGAAGCTTTCCATAGGCAGGGCTCTGCACTGGCAAATACAACATAATATCCAAGATGAAACATTTTAGTTCCAGTTTAGCACCCAAATTATTTTGGTTGGTGTCAAATTAATTTTAAAAACTCAAACAAGAAGTTATTTAGTTTCCTGGTAACTCCATAAATGGAGATATTTCAGCAGCAAAAGAACTGTTAAGTGAAAGATAGTTTTGATTTTGCAAAAATTGCTTCTTCCAGGTGAAAATTCCCAACTGGGGAAGAACACAGTGATGTAGCTATTAATATTCCTGAATCTGAACTGTGGCTAACTGAGCATGAATGCTCTCACTTTCTCCCTCAGTGGTGTTCATAAAATTATGGCTCCTGTGCAAATGTGCCATGAAATCTAATGATGTTCTTATAATTAAAAGAGACCTCAAGTGCTTCTTACAATCGACTGTAAATTATCCTAATTGAGTCTAGAAATGTGTCAAGTGATTTCAATTTGATGTGAATTGCTCTAGCTCTTCACTCAAAACTCAAGTTGAAAAACCTTCACAATGATTCTTTCTCCTTGCCGACTTGTTTACTTCCCTTTGCTCTTCCTGGGTCCATCTGGAAGTCGGAGATGCTGGAAACCTGCCTGGAAAAGCCTGTCTTCAGAGCCTCTGTAGAACGGGAATATCAGCAAGATCAGATGGTTATTGAGAACATTTTCGGGCAGGTTTCCAGCATCAGACAGGGACAGATAGGCAGCATCAAGGTACTTGTACATTCGTACAGATCTGTACAGATTTCATTCATTTTGGGATGAAGCGCTGTCACTTGAAAACCATCTTTATCAGCAGCATGGTTGCTTGGCTATGGAGGACAGAAACCAGTGCCAACATCTTTCTCTTGGCTCCCCTGCAGGTGGCTCAATGCTGATCTCTGCAGTGTGCTGCTTCTTTCTCTTCTTTGGCAACAGCGAATCGGCGATGATCGGCTGGCAGTGCCTCTTCTGCGGGGCCAGCATCGCCGCCTGGAACGCCCTGGACGTGATCACTGTAGAGCTCTACCCCACGGATAAAAGGTGCTCAGAGCTTTTCTCCTGTTCACTCTTGACAATGTGGCTTTGGCTGCTTGGTTTCTGATGGAAATATGAGGCAAGCTGTATTTTTCCTTTTTGTATTTTAATGAGACCTTAAGGGCTCAGTCCTGTGGCTTGACTGGATCAGCACAGACATTTGTAAGCACAATACTGCATGCATGGTGGCTTGCATGCAGGAGTTGGGTGGGTGTACACAGATAACAGGCAGATAAAATACAGCGAATCTGGCATTCCTATGTGTGTGCATGGAGGTCTGGCCTTCAGGCTGTATCCTCCCATCTCAGCTCATTGCCATGACAGTCTTCTCCTCCATGAGGAGACAATCATGTGCACAGAATAATCTGGGAGACAAGACGGAGTAGAAAACTTTGGGAGGATGTGGTGCAGATGGTGCTTTCCTGCCAGAAATGTTATAAGAGACTCTTCTTGCCTTTTTCAAGCTGTAGGAAAGAGCCAGAAGTGAAGGAGAACTGTACTTTGAAGGCAGAATGATTTCAGCTGCTAGGTGAATCAGGGTTTGCAGTAGAGCCCTGTTTCTCTGGTGACAGCCCAGAGGGACTGCAACAAATTCGAGAGAGGTTGTGTCTTGCTTTCCTTGAGGAGGCCAAAGGCTGCCATAAGGGGCAACTCAAGAGCTGGGAAGAAGTTGAGATAAGAGGAGAAATGAATTCCCACGTACATTTTCTTCAATCATACAGACATGCAAAACAGTTATATCTATTTACTATTTATTCTTTTTACTTGCCAGGAGAGTAGCCTAAGCAACATATAAGCATATAAGCTGGAACTAGGTGATCTTTGAGGTCCCTTCCAACCCAAGCCAATCTATAGCTCACAAAATAATTTTTCCAGACTTTCTGTAGTTATGCCAAGAACATCCCTAACCATTGCTTTCTGCTTCTCTTCCCCACAGGGCAACAGCCTTTGGCATCCTCAATGGGCTTTGCAAGTTTGGTGCCATCCTGGGGAACTCAATCTTTGCCTCCTTTGTAGGGATAACCAAGGTGGTTCCCATCCTTCTGGCTTCCTCTGCTCTGGTTGGAGGTGGCCTGCTCGCTTTGCGCCTCCCAGAGACTCGAGACCAGGTCCTGATGTGAGCAACTGAGGCCAGGGGGGTCAGGGGTGAACGTGGAAGAAGAACTAAAAAGAGCCATGTTTGGAAAAATCAAAATGTCCTTTTCTATATACTGTTTTGTCAATACCTCAAAGAGAGGAGGCAGAGAGGGAAAGAAGAGCCCAAAGGGATAAAAAATGAAGCCCTTTAGTATCCGACCCTTTTACAGCCACAATTGGTGCATGCAGCTACTACACATGCCCTGCAGAGCTTTTCTGTTTGGGTTTAATCTTGCCTACACTGGGATCCTGTCCTTTCCCACTCCATCCCAGTGTAGTGACACAGGACAGGAGCAGTGGCTTTCTGCATGCGTGTGCCTGCACGGGTGTGAGCGTGTCCGACAGGAGAGCAAACCTTGATCCTGCCTGCCTTTGCCAAGCTGTGAGACCCTGCCTGCCTTGCCAAGCACTCCCTGGCAACTCAAGTCCACTGTGCTCAACTGTGAAAGGAAACCGAATGGGAGGCAGGTAACAAACCTGCTCTAGATCACATCCAGCAGCAGGGTCCAGAGCTGCAGATGTGACTAGTGACCTTATCTGTCTTGATTTTGGGGTCATCACCTTAAAGAGTGAGAGAGTTCTGAAGGATTTGAGGGTGGGTGCTCAGCTCTCTCAGAAGAACCAAGATTTCAAAGCCCTTTATTATCTTCACTTGAGCATACAGATTGCTAGGCACTTTCTTGGTCTGGGAGAGAAGTATATATGTCATTATATATATATGTATTTTCACATACTTGCAAACGTATGTGCACACATTGAAGTGATCAGCTACTGAAATTCATGATTTTAAATTTCTGCACTATTAAAATATCTTAAGAGAGGCACTAAAATCTAATCCTAGTAATTCAAGGTTATCTGGAGTTACAACCAACTTGGTGATGCATTGTTCTTTATATCCAGACACCAAATATTTAAATGTATTGATGACTGGGACTATATATTTCTATGATGATAAAGATTCTTTTTTCCTATAGACTTTCATGGAGGAGAAATTGATTTGATGTTGGAGCATTCCACAAACCAAATGTGTACATATTATCCAGTGTAAATAGGAGACTTTTTCTCTAATGTCTAGAACATGGTAATTGAGAATTTACCAGCATTTTATCCATAATAGTTAAAGAATATGATGCTTCATTTTCTTACATATTTGGGTCTCACTGAAATACTGTAAGCACAGTTACTTATAGCCATTTAACTTGTTACACGGGCAATGCACACAGCAAGCTTGCACTGTACATAAGATTATATTCTCCATCAGGTGGGACAGTACTACTTGATATCCTGTAAAGACCATTTCTGAATTTCACATGCCCCTTTTATTGTTGCACCTGGAAGAAAAGTGAGCCGTGTATTTTTGGATATATTTTTGGGGGAAGCAAGACTTAAACACACACTGTTAAATAACACATTCATGCTCGTAAATACGTAGATAGTGCTAATTATATCCTTTCGACAAGCTCAGTGATAGCCCAGAATTGATCAGAAATGGTCGCATAATGCAGGGTATTTATCTCACCAGGATGTTTTCTGACACAAAAGGTTCTTTTGTACTTTCACTCGTGACCTTCCTTTTACCTTTCTTTGGATCCCTCTTTTTTTCTCCTTTTATTTTTAAGAAAAATAAGCAGTGCTTGCTGAAATCCAGCAAGACTGCAGTCTAACACCTCTGCCTTGAGCTGCACAGAGGCGGTCACACACACACCATGTCTACCCCCACACAGCTGTGACACTGAGTATGGGCCTGCAGCACAGGACAGGTGAAGGGCAGAAAATGGGGTGAGATCACAAGAAGCAAATCCTTGCTAATGAGACAAAGCCATCTAAAGAGCACCACTTTCATCCTCGTGTCAATTGGGGATGAGCACTTAAAGAGCAGCTAGGTTCCAATGGGCTATTTGGGATTTTTACAGATTTATTCTGAGGTTTACAAAACTGATAAAATCACAAGCCGCTGTAATAGCCGGGCTTATTATGCCTCATTTCTTCATTTTATGGGTAGCTTAGGGCCTTTTTGATTGTCTTCAAAACAGCAAGGTTCCTTCTGTAAGGTAGGAGGGAATGTAATTATGTCCTTTGGCAGCAGATCACAGATTCTGTTGAGAACCACAACCCAGAACGTGTGTTTTTCCTCTAAGAACGCCTGGTACTTTTGCATGGTGAGAAGCAGTCAAATATGTATTTCAACACAAAAGATCACCACGGTCTTTATGTTCCATCCTTTCTGTTTGGCTCTGCATGTTGATGACCGCATTGAGTTCGGGGACAGGGTGGGGGGAAGTTTATTTAATGGTCAGGGTTATTTTGTTGTGCTGCTCTGTGGAGCCAGAACTTCTCTGTATTTATTTTATGAAGCACTCTTAGATATATACACATCCAGGGCTCTGACAGCAAACCTCACTATTTGTGTTCTCCGCTGACATTGCTCAGAGGCTCCAATGGCATGGCTTATTTTGCAAAGTTGTTGGTTTTCTGAGAAGGAAGAAATCGAGTTCTTAAGGAGGTAGAAATTGTAATTGGAAAGGTCATCCAATCTTTGAAACCTATCTTCTTTACACAATGGCTGTTCCACATGATCTGCCTGGTAAACCTCCTATTCCAGAAATTATCTGGAACAAGTAAAGAGTAATAGGTTGTTGCAGTCAATATCACCCCGGCTACCCACGTGGCTGTGTCCCTAAAACACACGGCCAGTCACTCCAGAGCTAGGGGATGTCACTTATGGGTCTTGATGCTCCCATCCCTGACACTTGACCAGGGAGTTCATGACCAGAAATGGAAGGCAAACATACATGGCAGCTAGTACAGCAGGGCCTGGAAAAAGACAACGGTGAATAAAGAAGGAAGGAAGGTCCAGGGGGAAACTTTATAAGCTTAGACACCTACAGCTTAGCTGTCTGAATGTGAGTTCATCACCCAGGGCTCCAATCACTCTCAGTTGTAAGAAATAGAGAACACATGTGATCCCCCTTAGACACCACGTCTAGGAGGTGAAGTTGCCCTGTTCTGACACCTCCCAGCCAACTTCAGCATGGACAAGACACAGTGAACACTCTCAACGTTTCTTTATTGGCATTGCCATGATCCAAATGATGGTAGGCTTCACACTGTTGCTCTCAGGAGCAAGGCGGTTGTTGGGTGCAGCCCCCTCAGCATTGTCTGTGTTTTCATATGGGTCTGAATTTCAAGTTATGTGCTGTGTGCTGAGCCCAAGCCACAAGGCACCAAGCACCGTGCATGGAAAGTTTCCATCAATCACCTCCTCCAATGGCTCAGCTTCTTTTCTACTGTAAAATCAGCATTATACTGCAGCGCAAGGGCCAGCATGCCCTCCGGTGGTTCTCTTTGCCTACATTTGCCACAGTGAACAGTCTCCTTGTCTCGGGGTTTTGAGTCTCTGGACTATCCATAGAGAAGAGGAATATTCCAGCTGATCTCAACCCCAGTGCTGAGGTCTATTTCCTCAGATTCATGAACTTTTCAGCAACAAGGGCACTGAGGACTGAGACAGGGGACTTGCCTTAAATCCCAAAGACCTCTTCTTGAGGACAGCTGGACTTCTTCATGTGTATGTGGCACACCAGCCCAGCCACTCAGCCAGGGACATGGAAAAGATGCAAGGACATGACCTGGTCTACTGTGTCTTCATGTGCAGAGCACTGGGATCCACAGGAGCAGTTCATTACTGGGTTTCCAAGCATGCAGAAACAGACATTTAGAGGAACACAAAGCACTGTTATTACTGTTGTAGAAGACCAATGGAATTACAGTAAGATTTCTATCTCTTTGTATTCCCTGTAGATTAAACTGATCGTTGTCCTCCTATTTCTTTACTTCGATTGTGCAGCACTGCTTCTGCTCTCACCTTCCATGGTGCCACATCTTGCTAGCAGTGGCTGTGCTTGGGACTGGATGGGCAACCCCCTGCTTGCCCACGATCCTCAATCCCCTTAAAATGCTGTATGATTCATAAACAGTTGTGTATGGATCTTCTGGACAAAGAAAAGAGTGTCTCTTGGAAAAATGCAAGCCCCAGCCTGTTGTTTTGCACTCTGGTCAGGCAGCTGATGTCATTAGGTGACACTGGAGTTGTGCAATAAGTGATATCCCCTGAGCCTGGGAGCAATCCAGCTCCTGGGTCAGGTTCACATATGGGCGTGGAGCTAAGCTGCATGGAGCTGAGCTTTCTACAGACCTGAAAGTCTCTTCTGGGTCCTGCTTTGAGACTTCCAGCAACAGAGTCACTCAGATATTGATATGGAAGTCTTAGGTCCATTTGTGTCTCCTGCTTATGTCCTTCGACCCTCCAAAGGACACAGAAATCTCAAGAACATATTTTTAGGTCTATGTAGATCTGAACCCAGTACATCATATTGCCATGAAGTTTCTTCCTTTGGTTTCTCACCCTTGTGTTAGCAAATGCTGCTTTTAGGAAGAATCGAGCCTGAGAACTGTGAAGGAAGAAAACGAATGAAATTTCTTTGCTGTATGTAACGCTAGCACTCGCATCCACACACTGCAAGTTCCACTGCAAATAACACCTCGTGTTGTGCGTGTTATGAAATACTTCATTTAGATGTTCTGTCTGCTGTGTGTGTGAAATAGCCAGCTCCAATTCCTCTTCTCCTTTTCTTCATTTACTCTCCCTCTTTCTTCTTTTTTTTTTTTTTCTTTTTTCTTTTTTCTTTTTTTTTAATTTGATCTGTGTCTGGTTGTCACTGGAAATTGCAGCTGTTCCAATGGACTTTGTTTTTGTTCCTCTTGTCGCATTAAAAGGCTGGAAGAAAAAGAACTCCTGTAGTGTTTGTGTTTAACGTGCGCCTTGTTCACAAGTGCTGTTGTGGCTGACCTTGTTCTCTGAAATTGTTGGGACTGCCTCTGATGTATGCAATGTGTATGTAGTCCCACTGCAATTAAGACCTCCCGTCTATTACTGCTTTATCACACTGCGTATTTCTTAACCCATTTGGTGAGGAACATAATA